AACAGGAGTGAAATATATTTATTAAAAATAAATAATACATTTTTAATATGTTACATAGGGATAGCAGATTTAATAGATGAATGAAATGAAAAACACCCCAAAATTTATGGGGCTTATTTTCATCTAATTTGTGCTATTATGTATGGTTAGTATAGTATGATCTATTTGTTACTTTAAAAATATGTCGTAATAATATCAAGTATGTAAAATTCTATGGCTGTTTCATTCTACCTGGAATAGATTTCAAGGTGAACACTGCTCTTTTATGTAGGTTATGGGTGCTACATGTGTGCTTTCAGAGCAGTAGTGTGAGAAAGCTTGAGGTGGGATGGCAGCACGGCCTCATCCCTATGACAGTAACTCCAGTGATCCGGAGAACTGGGATCGGAAATTGCAGAGTAGACCTCGTAAACTTTATAAACATTCAAGGTAGGTAGAAAATATGTGTTGCACATGTCAAAACTCTGCTAAAACTGATTATAAGACTACTTATTACTGCATTTGTGGCAGGTCCGTCAGAGAGTGAGGGCCGTTTTGCAAAGTACATTATTGTGCATGTTTGTGTTTCTACTTAAAAGTATTTTTTATAAAAACATTTTCCTTTTCACTTTTTAAATTTGTATGAATATTTACTTTTGTGTAAATTATGTCAGAATCTTAACTGAGCCTGTGATTATTAATTGGTTAAATTGGAAACTGGCAAACAGGCTTGTTCTTTGTATTTGAAACTCTGTAATAGGAAGTTTTTTTATGCTGTAAATACATTATGTGCACAGTTGTATCGTCACATTGATCCTGATGGAAAATTAATCTTTGATCATTTGAAAATTAATCATTGATCTTTCTGGAATAACTCTACTTGTCATTTAAGAATTGATACATGAAATGAAATTTCATTCAGAAGTTTCCACTCATCTGTATTCATTTTTAAACTTTCATTTTGTGCTCTGTGACTAATTAAATGAGGAATGCTTAATTTAGAGTATTTTGTGATTTGATATTTTAAGGTGTTGACAGCTCATAAACCTCCCATATTGCAGGTATGTAAGCATGTTTTCATAGAAAATTTTGCTTTGCGAATATCACTTAGAGAATACTTTTGAACATTTAACTTACTTCAATATAAAGTTGTCTTGATCATTGATAATAAATCCAACTATCAGAAAAAAACAAAAAAAAAAGAAAAAAGATAGTAAAAAGCAGCTTTATTAGCTTTCTTTAAAAACATGCAATGGTAATTGAAATAATTTTTATAATTTCAAAGAAATGGTTCAGTTTCTTTTAAATTGTGTATTAAAGTTAGAAAATATGAGTGCCTTTAAAAATCTTTAGAGAAGATGAATTCAGCTCTTGTGAGCTTTTGATGTGATAAGGTCTTGAAGTGTAAATGTTTTAATTTATTAACTTGTAAGTATATGCCAAGTGGTATGAATGCTTTTTGTTTGTTGTGGTGTTTTTTTTTTTTTTTTTATATGTCCTCTCAGTGGGATTCTAGTTGTTTTTGTTTTTGAGATTAAAGACGTTTTAATTTTATCACATATATGGGACTATATTATCTACTATGTTTTATGTGCGTTTCAAGTCAGTTGTGTTACCTTTCCTAATTGTATTTTTCCATTAATGTTCAATAATAGCATTGTTTAATGAAGAAATGACAAGACTGAAAACAAGTCATTGTTTTTTTAAAGCTACATGCATATAGTGGGGAAAATTTGTAAAAATTACAGTAGTTTTTTCATTGCTGTTGTTTCATTTCGGTAACTTGTTGATGGCTGTGTAGTTAGTAATTCTGGTATTCCTTTTAGCTACACAAGATTGTTTGAAGGAGAAACAGTAAAGTCAAATAAAAATAAGTATCAATAGATTGATTTTAAGAATGTTTTCTTTATGAACGGATCTAAAAAAGTATAGTTTGACTTTTGTTGTTTGATTAACTTTTTTTTTGTGTGTGTGGGGGCATATTGGATATTGAACTCAAAGCCTTGTGCATGATAGGCAAGCACTTTACCTCTGAGCCACATTCCCAGCCAGTTTGACTTTTTTAATATGATACTTTGGAAATCAGTAGTTGACTTTTTTTTTTTTTTTTTTGTGGAACCAGGGATTAGAACTCAGGCCCTTGCACTTGCCAGGGAAGCACTTATTCCACTGAGCCATCTCCCCAGCCCCCTAGTTGACTAATATTTGAGAAGTTGTAAAAACTAACAACCAGCATGCTTTATTGAGAATGTACCCTCAGTTCAAGAGTGTCAGGGTAACATAGAATGCTTTAATAACTACAGATGGTTCAATTAAAAGATTGCAAGGAATTTAAACTGTAGTCATGAATTGTAAACTACAGTTCAGTGAAGGAATCATATCAGCTTTACTGTGGTGAAAATAAGCCAAGCTAATCCTCAGATGATTAGAGTATTAGGGTAGATGAAGGACATTTCTGTCAGGGGCCTTTGTGAGATTACTCTGACTGGTTCTGAAACTGGAGTTCTGAATAGAACTGTACCCTTCATTTTTCAGATGAAAACAGGTTAATAGCCTTTCCCAAAGCTGTTCAACTTGCAGATGGCAGAGTGGAATTTGTAAACAAGTTTTGCATCCTTTTTCAAATACTAAATTTATTATAGTAGGCCAGGTATAGTGAACCTACTCATCAGTTAGCTTGAAGTTAGCAATTCATAGAGATTTTGTTTCAGCTAGCCCTATCTACTCATCCTTTTTTCTTTTCTTTTCTTTTTTTTTTCATTTACCTACTTAGGGATGTTTGTATAAAGGAAAACCACACTAAACATTGGCATCCGTTAATATTGTTTTGTACATAGTTATTCCAGAAGTAGGAAATGACTGTATGTTTAGTTGCCTAAAGATTAAAAATCTCTGATTCGCTTGGTCTTTTCTCATATAGTGAGTGGCTTTAGCCATCATATCCATCTTCTAGACAAGACTAAAGAGACAATGGCAGAGGGATTCATTTATATCAGGAAATTAAATTTCTCAGAAATTCCCGTGATATCTGCTTATAGTTCATTGGCAAGAACCATGTCATCTTGCCAACTTTGGATCAGGAGGATTGAGAGCATAGTTTTAAACTGGCATAATGCTAACTCTTAACAATGAATAAAGTGATTTAAATGAATGGAAGTAAAGAAATGAAGTTATCTTTATTGATTCAATTGTTGTAGATGATCTAAAAGTTATCTTTAAGTCTGTGTTCTTTTGTGGTGGTATATGTGTGACCGACCCCCCCCCATATTTTTAGAGTCTTTTTGTTTTGGCAGTATCAGGGATCAGACTCTGTACCTTGCACTTGTACTTGGTAAGAAGGCCTTTATGCCTCTGAGCTCTATGCCCAGCCCAGAAATTTTCTGACTTATGAAAGTAATAGTAATGGCTACTTTCTTATGTATACATGCTCATTTTTGACATTTTAGGATTTGGTGGTTGTTGGTTTATAATTTCTACTCCATCTACTACAGTTGAAAGTATTGATTTCCAAATGTTCTTTTAAGTGTAAGCTTGATATGTATAATGCTCTGATACAAAAGACAAGACAGAAACTGTTCTGGACATGGCTGAGCTTCAGGATATCTGTGATTTCTTCAGATGTGTACCAATAGTTTAAAAATTTGTGAACTTCGTTTCCGTGTGAATTGCTGTATAGTTAATACTTGAGTAGAGGGGTTTGATAGCTTGCTAAAGATGTTAAACTTCATTTTAGTTGAAGAATATTTGGCCTGAATTGTGACACCTTTTCTTTAAATTATGAATTAAAGGAGTTTTTGCTGTTTAAAAAAGAGAGCACTTCTTTATAATAAAATGTCTAGATAAATAATAAGCAAAAAGTTCTTCAATATTTTGAATTGTATAAAATATGGTGCACAAAATTTCAGTCATATGCAGTCTACTCAAGTTCCTAAAGATAATATAAATACATCATACGTTGAATATCAGGCTTTGCCGCAAGGTTTCATTCCCCTGTAAAAGTACGCATGCTCATTTCTTCTGAGGCTACATGAAGTATGAGCTTTTCAGTTTTCTTTGTAAGTCACTCCATAGTCCCAGTTTCAGCATCAGTTTAGAATGGAAAAGTTTGTTTGCTTAAAAAATTCTTTTATTGGGTGGATTATTAAAAGTCCAAAAATATTTTCTGTCTGGTTTTGAAGACAAGCTTTACTGTTCAGAATGAATGGGCAAATATTGAAGGGAATAAAGAAAGTTAGCTGTATCCTAGTTTTCCAAAACCTGGCAAGCTGGCAGAGCTAGAATTAGCTTTACAGATGGCATTTGGCAACATATCTTCATATCTCTGAGCCCTTGTCTCCTGCGTTTTCTTCTGCTTGTCTATCAATTACAATGTCCAATCGCTGCTCGGAGATGGAGAAAAGGGATGAACACAGCTCGCAAGATGCTGTTTGGTTAGAAACGTCAGTGCTGCACAACCCACGGCTGAGTCAGTGTCTGTGAGAAAACGAACTGAATTAATATATAGAGGGGGTGAATCTCTGAACATTTAAAGCCTAAATAATCTGCAGCAGCATTATTACACTGTAGAGGGAGGAAACTAAAGGAAGTCTGTGGACAGGTGAGGTCGAGGGAGCCTGGGAAATTTTCTGATTGTTCAGAGGAATCTTGAAGATGATGGAAATATCTGATGTGCTAAAGTTTCCTAGTAATGCCCAAGGATGCTGACCTGTCTTTCAGTGCTGCATTGTTTGAAAGAACAGAATCCCTTTATACTCTGATTGCAAAATTTTTTTCTTGTTTTTGTGTGTCTACCTTGGCATATACTAAAGGAAGGTGTGTATTCATTTACTACATGATATCTCTGGGTTGTAATTATATACATATATGCATTTGAGATTGAGAGATGATGGTTTTCGTTTCATTATGATCATTTACATTTCTAAATGATCATATAACTATCACATTAATGGCATTATTTAAAATAAATGGAGTATATTTTTGTTTTCAAGGGTTGAAGGCATTTCTTATTAATGCATTGTTTGGTTTCATATTTTCTGAATATAAAGAATTTAAGGAAAGACTAATTTTGATATTTTTGATGTGTTTGAAAATAAAATTCAAAGAAATGAAATAATTTCCTAAAGATGAGATTGAATATATTTTTACTTTTAGATGAATGATTAGTTGAACTACTTAATAGTGGTATTTTATAGGACTAACTGAATTGAAATAACTTCTATAGTTAAAATGGTAAAAATGACTTACTTAGTCATTTCATTAAAATGATTTATTTTCTAGTCTTAAAGAACATACACTCTGAATGAATGTTCTAGATGCTGTTGTTGCTGAAAACCATTTTATCTGGTTTTCAAACAGATAAAATTTCTAAATAGTTTTTTTTTCCAGTGAGATTTTTAAATCTTAATAGGTGAAATTGCTCACCTAATCAGAAAATTTCAGCTCAATTTGAA